ATATATTTTAATTTATTATTAATGTAATTTATAGTTATTATGTAACTTTTAAGTAATATATATTATTATTTTTATTTCAATATATGTAGCACAAATATAATTTCAAGAGTTAATATGTTATTAATAATTGAGATTTATGATATTTTTTATGTAATTTCCAAATTAAATAATATATGTTATTTCTTTCGTACCATATTATATAATACATATAAACTGATTTTATGAATCAACCGATTTTTTTATAAGCAATCGATTTTTTAATATATATTTTAGCTTTATGTCTTAGCAACTCAGCGATCTAGACTTGTACAAAAATAAAACATAAACTTCTGCATGAAAAGCCAATACTTCAGTATAATTCAGACTATGATTTTTAAAATTTTTAAACAATTTGTGGTATATCACATACAAACAACAACAACAATAATATATTCAGTATAATTCTAAAAGTATGCTCTAAAAAAGATAAAGTATATGTAGACTTTATTATTATCTCATGGAGATAGAAAGATTGTTCTCGCGCTTAACTCAAGTACATCCAATCCAATCCAAGTAAAAAAAAGAATGAAATAGTGTAAAAAAAAATAGCAACTAACAATTAAAGCAATGCAGAGGAACAAGACCAACAAAATAGTATGATACTAGCAACACAGTAAACCACAGACTATGAGGGATATCAAAAATAAGAACAACAACAATACGGTTAATACAACTAATAACACCAACAAGACTATACTTTCAGAAAACAAACACATCAGAGGTCTTAGGAATCCCATCCCTAACGAGCTAGAAGTGGAACAAGCGCTCTTAGCCTTTTGCTTGAGAGTAGGACTTGTCTTGTCTTTGACTTCAACCCGCTGCTTGACTGCTCGACTTGGCTATTGAAGAAGCTCTTTGCCTTTAGGCACCAGGAGTAGGCAAAAAAAGACGGGCTTTCCTCCAACTGGCACGATTGAAATAGACGGCTAGGAAGGTACGAAGTGACTCGACTCTAAAGGAGAGGAAGGAGGCCATTGGATGAGGTTACTTCGTTCCTCAACTTTTTGAATTTCATTCTCCCGGGAATTCGGGTTGCAACCAAAAACGAAACTTGGTAGCACTCTAACACTCAATTATCTGACAACCTTTTACCTTAATGTGTGTTCAACACCCACCTATATAAGGTCATGTTCTCTATAAATTAAAGTTACATTATGTCTTGTCTAATCATATGATCGCAAATACATCTTCTGTCAACCTCTATCTCTCCTAGTACCTACTATAACCAATCTTTTTCATCTCCTCACTGTGACATTATCTTCACATGTACAAACAATCTAAATCTCACTTTCTCATCTTGTACTCTACGGGAATACTTTTAACTTATTCCAAATATCCCCATTCCTAATTTTATCAATCCTTTTATGCCCACATATCCACCTTAACATTCTTAACATGTAACTTTTAAACATGACAATTTTTTACTAGACAATATTTTACCCCATACAACAAAATCGATCTAACCATTTCTTCATAAAAAAATTATCTTTAAGTTTTAGTGGTACCTTTTTATCACATATATAAAACCCAGCTTATAGACATATCCTAAATTCATGCCAATATATGATCATCTTCCCAAATTTAGGTTTTTTCCTATCATAAAATCATGTCAAATCTTTCCCCATGAAAACAACCTAGATTCTAAAGCTTAAGAATCAATGCACAGGGGTTAAGGAGTCAAATATTATCCTTTTCAACAAATTATATGGGAATAACAAGGGCAGACGGCCCAAAATAGCTTGTCCCAAGTCAAAGAACACAATATAGAAAATAGGAATTTTGAGGCTAATCCTGCGATAAAATTGTTTTGCCCCGCTATAACAATCCCATCCTCCATAGCGGAAATTAATTTCGCTATAGCGATAGGGGAACTGCTATAGTGGGACGCCTTCCGCTATAGTGGCCTCAAAGAAACTTCAGAAGCTCAAAATTCCAAAAAGATCATTTTTTACTGCTATCTCTTTTCCTGACATCTCGACGTATACTTTTCACTTCAAGATCTATTTCAAGAGTTCTACTTACCTGAATTTGATTTTAAAATTCTCTATGGACTCCTTAATGCTTTGGCTACAAGAAAACATCAATCAGACCTTCAAACATATCCCACCCATTCCTGAACTGTCCTAGACCTTTGAAATACACTATTAAATAGTTCAGAAAGTAAATATTCTTTTCAAAGTTCGATGTTATTACAACATTTTTGATCAAATTGAAATTCAGATATACTTTAGACCCTTGTCTCAAACATCAAAAGCCAAAAACTCGATTTTAATTGATTTAATATTTATTATAAATTTCTAAATATAATATAATTCATTTGATTTGATATTTAAAATCCAAACCAACTTATACCCCTAAGTTAATTTAAGGATGGTAATTTAGACTATTATTGAAAAGGACAAATTTCACAAAGTGATACAACATTCTCTTTTGCGTATTTTTAAAAAAAAATAGAGCAGTTGATCTTGCTTCAGGAAGTCGGCATCTCGTTAGATTATATTAGACAAGAAAACAGAAAATTCCAAATATTCATATCATTTTCGAACTGTACATAAGTTTATATTGAGTTCTCAAAAAATCAACCAACTCTTGATTCTTCTTTGAGGAATTTTTCAAATAGTTAGTATTATGAATTTAATTATGCTTCATAGCTCTAGATTATATATTTACAGATTTTGGTATAATTTAAAATGTTTTGTTTGTACAATTTATGGATTTGTATACTTTGCGAGTAATTTTATATAATTTATGGGTATATTTATATAATTGAGTATTTGTTGTATAAATTCGAACTAACTAATTTATACAAACGCAGAAATCTGAACTTAAAACTTTTATACAATTTAAGTTAAACAAGATTACGTTATGTACAAAAGTTATATAAATTTATATTATAGAAATTCCAATTTTACAAACGTGTGAATCATATAAATTCAAAATCCCAACCCACGTAATTTCATTGAATATTTGTTGCAAGTAGTAATTAACTAAAATTATAACTATAATAACTAATTAACTAGTATATATTTGATTAACCACATAATTTTTTCTTTTCTTTTGGATGTTATTATACCAACATGTTGGAATATATATTTGATTTTGTTCATATTCTAATTTGTCTTTTTCTTTTTTATAATAAAGAAAGATACTTATCGAAATGACAATTAATTGTTATGTATAGTATAATTCGTTTGCCTAGTATAAATATTAAATAGTTACCTATGCAATCAATTAACATTAGATCCAATCTATTAGAGCCTATAGAGAAATTTAAACAATAAAAAGATACTCCAACTTGTTCGTAATCTGGGTTGGGTCGATACAGGAGTAAGTTAAATTCATTTAATCAGATTTTTAATTATTCAAATCAAATCAAACTAAATATAACTTGAAATTAATTGTTGTCAATTTAGTTTGATTTTTTTAGAAACATAATGAGATTTATCTTTTTTTCCCCTACAAATAAAAGCAAATATTTTGTCGTTTTTTAACTTATAATCCATAATGAACCTTTTATTGTTATGCTATAACTACGGAGAAACTCTTTTAATATGTAAAAGTTTTAATCAAGTGAATAATGTTTGATAAGAAATACACACATGCGCAGCCGACACATGTACGCACACCTCATTGTTGTTTTACTTTCTTGAATAAGTGAGTTTTGATTCATGACTTTCTTTTCATAACGAATTTAAGGTGTAAAATTCGTTAACTTATTAGAAATGAGTATTTTTTCATGAAAAAATATACAAAGTATTTAAAACTATATATATATATATATATATATATATATTGTGTAATGATAACTTATTTGTTAGTTCAATTTTTTATTTAGATTTTTTTTATAAAATCAAACCAAATCAAATTAAATGTTATTGTTTTTTTGTAAAACTTAAATTCAAATAAAATAAACAGTTTAATTTATCATTTTGATTCTGTTATTTATTTAAATCTATTTTTAACATAACAATGAACATCCTGCTCCTACTCCATCAATTTGTTTTTGCATTATGATGTGGCATGGCAATAGTTAAGAATTTTGTACGATTTTTGTGGACAATATTTCGCTCTTTCTACAATAATTAAAACTAAAAAAGAGTTCAAGTTGAGAACAGAAGTGAGTCCAAAAAACTTTTAGGTACTTCATTAAATTATGTAGAAACTCTCAAAGCAAGAAAAGTGACCATTACTTTATGCTACTCAAAAAGAAGAATGAAAAAGATGAGCAGTAAAATATTTTGGGATATAAGAAGTACATAATATGAAAAAGCTAAACCACTTCTCGTTCTAGAATACAAGAAAAGAATTTGAGTCTAAAAAAACCCTTAAGATGAGGAATTCAAGAAAAAGAAAAAGTTAGTATGATTGAAGGTTGACATGAAATGTTATAAGTGTGTTTGAAGGAGAAAATAATTTTTAATTTTTTTTTTTTTTTATGTTTGATTGGTTAAGTTATTTTTAAAATTTTCTTATATAGAAAAATATAATTTTAAAAAATGAAGAAAACTACTCAATGAAAGTATGAAAAATGAATTTGACAAGTAATATTCAAAGTTTATTGTCTTCTCCCTACCTAACGTAACATCTTGAATTTCTGGCCATTGACCATTCCATCCCAGCACCCCCATTCCCTACTCCCTATCCCTCACATTATATTTTGTTAGATTATATATAAATCTTATTAGAATAATATTTTTTACTTATTTATAAAAATACTAAAAAGTAAGTTAAAACCCCCCACTTTTTTCTAATAAACCATTTTCTAGAAATATTTTCCTTTCTTACTAAACACACAATGCCCCCCCACCCCCACCTTTTTTTTTAAACATGGGATAAAAAGTGGACAGTTAAATACAAAAATTAAAAATAATATTATCTTGAAAATGTGACAATTTCTTTTAAGGTATTCCAAAGAACATGTAAGACGCCGTAACTAGTAAGAATCGAAAAGAAGTTAAAAGTTGGAAATAGTCATTTTTGAAAAGAATATAAAAATTCAGAAATTTGTTAAGTGTTTAAAATTGAGTTTTTGGTCAACTTCAAACGACCATAGCTTCTAGATCAGAATGAATTAGTTGTGTTTCCAGATGTTGTAGGAAAGATCTTGGAATAATCTTTCATACTTTGCCGAGTTTGCTCGATTCCGAGTTTGTCTAAATGAGATATTCCCATTGGAAGTTGGGTTGTTCAAATAAGGAAATGTCGAATCCGGATTTTAGAGGGGCATTAAGGTCTTTTCCTTACCCAATTACTTTATTTTGTTTTTGGATAATTAATTGTGTCCAAATTCATCTTAGTCAATTTACGCTTTTGAAAAAAGAGTTAGGATTTTGAGAGAATAGAAAAGAAGAGGAGAAAAGAGGAGAAAATGCAAGAATCGTCAAGATCATTCAAGTTTGATCGTGAATTTCATCAAGGGGGTGATCCCTGCGAGGGTGAGTGATATCACATAGCATTGGGTTAGCTCAATCACGCGTCAAACATGTTTCGTTCAGCGTATTTTCATCCTAAAAAATTGAGAATTTGATTTTGTTGATAGTTGTTCTTGAATTGATTTCATTTTTGAATATGCGTTGAGATTAAGGAGTTTCTTGATGTTAAAGTGTCGTTTCCTTGAGTTCTCAGAGTAAGATCCTTGTGTATATGATTTGGGTACATGAATCTAATGTGAATTTGAGAAAAAGAATTGGGTTAAATCGATTTAAGATCAGAAAATGAGACCAAAAGTTTGTCAGTTTTTGCCTGAAGGAATAGGTGGCACGACGTGCCCCCATAGTGCCAGGAAGGATGGGGCGGCGCGTCAACAGTGCACCATTTAGAGCCTCAGTAAGTTGGGGCTGGCGCGGCATGCCTGGGATGAAGCAAGTCTCCACCTCGAAGATCTGACGCAAACATTTTGAAGTCTCCATCTCAAAAGGTAAGCGCTCAAACTCCATCTCGATTTCATTTTGCTCAAAGCTTCAATTTCCCTAAATGAATTTGTTGGTTCAGATTTCAATGGAAACAATTTTACAAGATGGGTTCATCAAGAATCAGTTATAAAATCAAAACACTAGCTCCAATTTGCACTATTTCAACATTAGTCAAGCTTCGACTCTTTCTCTCTGGAAAAAAAAGGAACCCCAACTAGGAATTTCCATCACATTCCCACATTAGTATATCTTATTAACTCGACATACTATTGTTTTGCAGTTCCAACTAGACATACCATTGTTTTCCAGTTATAAAATATGAACCCTAACTCAGAATCGTTTCACTCGACACACCACTGACATAGAGATTTTAGTGGTTTGGGTGTTATGATAGTGTCATATTTTAACTCTAAACTCTTACCATTTCTTTTAGATTGAAGTAAGATTAGTATTTTATCAAAAATAGGGATTCTAGAAATTGGAATGTTCTTAAAATAGAGGGTTTTTTAGAAGTAATGTTTTTTGAAAATAGGTGTTAGGGTCAAGCAAGCATTTGGTGTTAGGTTCAAGCATATTAAATTGACTGCTTTAGTTTTATACTTCAAGTAACTTTGTGACTACTCACGACCAACTCTCTGTAAATTGTATCTCTTTTTTTCTCACCTGCACATTAGCTTTCTTTTTTCCAGAAAAATGTGTTGATACAGATTTTCTGGTTATACTTTTGTTTGGTTTCATTTTTGGTAATAAATAATGTTAGTGTAATATTGAATCTAGTGCTAAAAATGCTTCTGGTTGATTTTGGTATTCCAATTTAGGATCTTTTGAACTTGTGTGATATATCACTTTTTTTTTTATTTTCCGATTGATATTCTAAAGTGTTTTTTTATGTTTTTCTCACTTGAAATAACTCAATTCGAGAGTTTATTGAAATAGCCTTTCAATCTGTGTAACATCTTGCAACTAGAAAGAAAAGTTTAAAATCTGGAAATACTTATTTTTGGAAAGTAAAAGGAAATCTGTAGATTTTTTAAGTAATTTAAAAGTGAATTTTTGGTCAACTTCCAACGGCCATAACTCCTAGCTCAGAATGATTTAGGTCTAGTTCTAGATATGGTTGGAAAGTCGATGGAATGATCTATCCAACGCCGCAAAGTTTGCGCGATTCCAAGCTCGAATGGGTGACTTATGCTTTTTGAAAGTTGGATTGTTGGAGTTAAGGAAAATGTCCAAATCCGAATTTTAAAGGGGTAGTTTGGTATTTTTCTTTCCCTATTAATTTTTTCCATTTTTGGTAATTAAGTTAGGGGTCTTAGTTTAACTAGATCAGTTTCTTTTACCCAAAGAGTCAGGGTTCTGAGAGAAAAGGAGAAAAGAGGAGAAAGACATTCAAGATTTCGCCAAGCACATCGAAGTAACTTATGGATTTCGTGGGGGGTGATCCCTAAAAAGGTATCTCAGTCTATCTCAACGTTGGATTCATTCACCCACATGTCAAGCATGTTTCACTCATCGTGATTTCGTCCTAAAAAGATTGGATTTTGAATGTTGTTCTTTAATTGCTTTCGTTCTTGAACATGAGTTGAAGTTTATGAATTTCTTGAGGTAGAAAATGATGAACATTAGTAATTTTTAAAGTAGACTAGTTGATCCAATTAGTAGTCTATAAATTTACCAATGGCAAGGTATAGGATGACCCAGACACCATGTAGCAAAACATTGTATCATCACTATAGCTCTTAAGTGATGGTTGTTAGTTAGATAAAATCCAACAAAAGTTAAATGTATTTTATATACACAGTTGTTTGTATTTTTACATAAATCTCAGAGTTATATTTTATCTTTGCATACATACAAAGTTGACATCATGTTTTAAGCAACATTTCTTTATGTTGCACTTATTTTAAATTTGCTATATATTGTAATGAGTCTAGTCTAACTTTTCTTTATGTTGCACTTATTACCAGGTAAGTTCTTCATATTTCCCTTTCAAGCCTATGTTAGTATTATTTAGCATTCCAGCACGCTTACTCATACATTCAATATACTAATTCCAGTTGTCTTGCATCATATTATGATGCAGACGCAGGTAATGAGGATCGCATCCAGCATAACGTTGATCCAATTGAGCACTCCAGAGTCAGTGGTGAGCCTCTTTGCGTTTTGAAGGGATCTTTTTATTTTTTTTCTAGTTTAGTTCATTAGGATGTTGTGGAGGTTAGTCCCAACATCCATCTCAGTTGTTTTTAGACGTTTCCTAAGTCCCAACATCCATCTCAGTTGTTTTTAGACGTTTCTTAGACAGTTAGTAGTTCAATTGCTTATACATTATTATTTCAAATATTGTTTAAAGAATTGAGTTGCTATTTGGGCTAAGTACTTATATAATTTTGAACTATATTTCATATGTTTAAGTCTTCCGCTAAGTTATGTAATCCAGGCCAAGGGTCCGTTCGAGGTTAGCAATGGTTATTGAGGGTCGGCCACGCCCGAGGTGTAGGCTCGGGGCGTAACAAACTTGGTGTCAAAGCACAAAGTTTAAGAGTCCTAGGGAGTCTATGAAGTTGTGTTTGTAGAATCATAGTTATCGGTGTGAAGTGCGCCACAATTATAATTAGGAGGCTGCAACATTTAGGAAATTACTCACTTCTTTCATACTCACTTTGTGCGTTAGAGTTTATCTCTAAAAAAATTCTTTCTAACTCGTGCTTACTCGTAGCCGATTGTGAGTTGAGCTTTGTTTAAGGATGCCTTTTGGGGAGTTTTGTTTCCTCGTGAGCTAGGAGAAACAAATAGATGGTTTTTGACATGAGGAGTAGAACGAGTTTGTTTGTTGCTGGGTTGACTCATCTATCAAGTAAGGAAAGTAAGGCAACTATGCTAATAGGTGACAATGACACAACAAGATTGATGATCCATGTGCAACAAGTTGTGGAGGACCAGCTGAGGGATAGAAAAGAGTTCATGAATAAGAAGGCTAAGACGTAAGGAACGAGTCCGGGCAATAAAGAAATAATGTGAGCTAGTCTTCTTTCTAACAAAAGTAGAAAGGACTTGCTTCATTATCTGCTAGTGCACTTGCACCAAGGAACCAATGTGTGTACAATACTCAGGATTCTCAAAACTTTAGATCTAGGCATGCGTATTCGCAAGGTGGCAAGGAACAAGGGGGTACTTAGACTCCTGCATGTTCCAAGTGTGGTAGGAGCCACTTAGGGGTGTGTCATGATACATTCACGGATTGATTCAAGTATGGCTAAAATGGTCATTTTAAAAGAGAATGTTCTAAGAAAAGATAGAGAAATGATAAAGAGGGCAATATTGTCGATTCTTCTTCAATTTTTTCACCAGATAGGGTTACATCTGGATAATCTACTTCAGGGTAGATGGAGAAGGAAACCACCTTTATGCTATTACTAGTCGCCGAGAGAAAGAGGATTTGCCAGATGTTGGCACTGGTATGATCCAAGTCTTCAGTTTTGATGTCCTTCACTGTTTTTATACCTGTTGAGAAATCTATTTGAGCAGACAGAGTCTATCGTGATTGTACCATTTCTCATAAAAAAAAAGAGTACCATAGATGACTTAGTTTAGTTAGACATAGTAGAGTTTGATGTCATTATAGGTATGGACTGACTTCATGCCTATTATGCATCAATAGATTTTAGCACTCAAGTAGTCAAGTTCCAATATTCTAGTGAACCAGTTATAAAGTGGAAAAACAATTCAGCAATGCCTATGAGTTATTCCATTTTGTACCTTAAGGCAAGAAAGTTAGTTTTCAAGGGGTGTCTCTATCACTTAGTCCGAGTTAATGACTCATATATTGATATACCTTCTATTCAGTCAGTTTTAGTAGTAAAAGAGCTTCCAGAAGTCTTGCTAGATGATCTTGCCGAAGTCCCTCATGAGAGAGAGAGAGAGATTTTGGTATAGATGTTCTTCAGATACTCATCCTATATCTATTCTGCCATATAGAATGACACAATAAGAGTTAAAGAGCTTAAGGAGAAGTCGAAAGACCTCATAGAGAAGGGTTTTATTCGACCAAAATGTCTCACCTTGTGGAACTCTATTCTTGTTTATGAGAAAGAAAAATGGTTCCCTTGGGATATGTATATATTACTGTCAGTTGAACAAGTTTACCATTAAGAACAAATATCCTCTTCCACAGATAGATGATTTATTCGATCAACTTCAGGGTGCCACCTGTTTTTCTAAGATAGATGTCATATCTGGCTACCATTAGTTAAGAGTAAGGGAATGTGATATTCCAAAGACCACCTTCAAAACCCTATATGGTCATTATGAGTTTTTGGTCATGTCCTTTGGTTTAACTAATACACCATCATCGTTCATGGACCTTATGAATGAGTTTCTAAACCATATTTAGATATGTTTTTATCATCTTCATTGATGACATACTAATTTATTCAAGGAATGAAGAAGATCATGCTAGTCATCTCAGAATAGTCCTTCAGACTTTGAAACATAGAGAGTTGTATGCCAAGTTCTTTAAGTGTGAGTGTTTGGCTTGAGTTTGTGGCATTCTTATGCCATATAGTGTCTGGAGAGAGAATTAAAATTGATACTCAGAAAATTGAGGCGATGCAGAATTGAGTTTGTGGCATTCAATATGTGTTCACTTAGAAAGAGCTTAATCTCAGATAATGGAGGTGGCTAGAATTACTCAAGGATTATGACATGAGTATTCTTTACCACTAAGGTAAGGACAATGTTGTATTTGATGCCATAAGCATGTTTTCAATGGGTAGTAATGCCCATGTTGGGGAAGAAAAGAGAGAGTTAGGAAAAGATGTGCATAGACTTGCATGACTAGGAGTTCGATTAATGGATTCTATAGAAGGAGGAGTAGTGGTGATGAATGGGGCTGAATCATCATTAGGGTCAGAAGTAAAAGAGAAGTAAGACCAAGATCCTCTATTGATTGAATTAAAGTCAAGTGTTCATAAGTAAAAAATGATGACTTTCGAATAAGAAGGATATAGTGATTTGAGGTATCAAGGTAGATTGTGTGAGTGATTTCAAGAGTAATTGGGATAATCACCTACCTCTCGTTGAGTTCATTTACAACAGTAGTTACCACTCTAGCATCCAAATATCTTCTTATGAAGCTCCTTATGCGAGAATATGCAGATCTCCTCTTGCATGGTTTGAAGTTGGTGAAGCAGGGTTGATAGGACCAGATTTAGTTCACCAAGCTATGGAGAAGGTGAAGGTGATTACATAGAGGTTCAAAACGGCACATAGTTATCAAAAGTCCTACACTGATGTTAGGAGGAGACCGTTAAAGTTAGAAGTAGATGATTGGGTATATTTAAGGGTTTTACCCATGAAGGGTGTTATGAGGTTCGGTAAGAAAGGAAAGCTCAGTCCTCAATATATCGGACCTTAAAGAATATCTAATAGGGTGGGCAATGTAGCTTATGAGTTGGAGCTACCACAAGAGTTAGTGGTGGTTTATCCAATATTTCACATCTCCATGTTGAAGAAGGGCATGGGCGATCCTTTTTTGATCATACCAATTTAAAATATTGGGATCATAAGTTAGCTTAACCTATTAAGAGATTCTGATTGAGATTTTAGATTGCCAAGTTCGCAAGTTGAGAACAACGGAAGTTGCATAAGTTAAAGTCCTTTGGAGGAACCAATTTGTTGAAGAATCTACTTGGAAAGCTGAAGAGGATATGAAGAAGATATATATCCATCTCTTTGAGTTCGGAGAAAATGCAGACCAAGGTTCTAATTTTCTTCTTAGTACTATTTAAGTTATGAGTAAGCATGTTGTTGTTACATTTGCTTGTTAATTGTTTGAAATTGATGTTACTACCCTTAGTCTAGCGAGAATAACCTCATTCGAGGATGAATATTCCAAGGGGGAGATATTGTAAAATCTCTCTACTAGAAAGAACTAGAAAGGAGTTTAAAATCTGTAAATACTTATTTTAGCATAGACTTGTAGATCAACTCTGGTAACATGAGGCAAAATGTTGTATCATCCATATAGCTCTTAAGTTATGGTTGTCGGTTAGAGAAACTCCTATAGAAGTTATATGTAATTTAATATACATTATTTTTTATTTTTTTACATACATCTCAGAGTTATATTGTATCTTTGCATACATACAGAGGTGACATCATATTTTATATAGCTTTTATTTATATTGCACTTATTTTAAAGCTTATGTTACTATTGTTTAGCAATCCAACTCACATACTCGTATATTCAATGTACTGATATCAGTTGGCTAACATCGTATTATGTTGTAGATGTAGGTAACGAGGATCGACAACCAGCGCACTGTTGATCCAGTTGAGCGATCTAGAGTCAGTGGTGAGCCTCTTTTGCGTTCCTGAGGGCTCTTTTTATTTGTTTTCCAGTTTAATTCATTAGGGTGTTGTGGGGTGTGTCCCAACATCTATCTCAGTTGTTTTTAGAGGTATCATAGACAGTTCGCAGTTCGGTTGTCTTTAGATTATTATTTCAGATATTATTTAATGACTTGAGTTGTCATTTGAGCTAAGTACTTATATAACTTTGAACTATATTTCTTATATTTAAGTCTTTCGCTAAGTTAAGTAAGCTAGACCAAGGGCCCGCTCGAGGCCATCAATGGACATTGAGTGCTGGCCACGCCCAGGGTGTTAGCTTGGAGCGTAACAATCTAAACCAAAAATATCAGATTAGACATTTAATGATCATCAAAAATTTTTGTTCAAGGAGAGAATGATTAGTTTATATATTATAAAGTCTAGGCTATATGTGGTAAAATTAGTTGTTGCTGAAAAAAGGGATGTGAAACTTCAATAACATAGTAATACAATGAAATAAGGAGTCGTTTCGTAGAGTGTATTAGTAGTGCTTGCATTAGTAATGCCTGCATTAGTTATGCTTGCATTATTTATTATACACTGTTTGGTTTGATGTACTAGAAATAACAAATCTTGAATAATTTCTATTAAAAATGTATGCATATAAAAATACCCTTCACACTTTATTTTTTTGTACAATTCCGTTGGAAAAAGATTCTTTGCTAAAACATCAAAAAAGATTTCTTTGTTTAAACATTAATAACTCCTCTTCTTCTTCTTTAGTTGTTACTATTGCGTCAAAATATTATTGTGGAAAGTTCACAAAGAATTTTTTTTATCAAACTAATCGTCACAATAGTAAATATTTTGATTAAACTATATTCAAATAAGAATTTTTAAAAAAAAGAACATGTGAATTTTTCTAATCTCAATATTCAATCACAAATCTTATTAAGCTCAACCTCAAAATTTTTTTGATATAAAACGAGTCCAAAAAATAAAACATTAAAATGGATGGAATGTAAGTGCGACACAAGTAGCATAAACCTAAGATAATTCCTAACTATAAAGCGGTACCCTATTAAAATCAGTACATGCACTTTATATATATTAGGAGTCAGGGCATATGCTTTAGCAGCCAAAATCCTATTTCCTAGTGCAATTTAAATACAAAAAAGTATTACCACCAATCAAATTTATGAATAATGGAGATGTTTTTTAAAAGGTTTAGCATCCACTAGGCAACCCCTCTTTATGTTGTAAGTAGAGACACGACAACAGTTGATTCATTTGGGACTCTAGTGGCTTAATAAACATGGCATCAGAGGTTGTCATTTGATTCAGCATCAAGACATTCTCCGTTATCTCCTCCAACACTCTGTCGTGTTCTTTGATTTTGTAAAGGATGAGAAAGAGCACCTTTTCAATTTGTCCACCCTCTTGCTTCTTCATTCGTTGATGCTTGTGAGGGGGAATGTACATGTCCTTCTTTTTTTTGGACAATACTTCCAAGTCCTTGACCTTTTGGGTCAAAATATCCAGCTAGCCCTACAAGGTGGTCAAGTGTTAGTCCTTTTCCTTCTCCATCTTCTCAGGACAACAAGACACAAACCAAAACTAAAAACTAAGTTTAACTATAACTACCAAGAACAAAATTCAACTTAACCAAAACTTCTCAAGTAACACCTATTCCCGGCAGCGACGCCATTTTGATTTCATGTATCAAGACACTTCATCTAATTTAAGTGCCAACGATCATGAATAGTAATATAACTCAACCAAGGGTTGGTATCGATTCCACATGGAATAGTTTTGAGAATTGATAGCCAAATGTGAAGATGCTCTGATCAGTCATAGTTAAAAATATTTACGAATAAAAACATGGTTTAAATTATAGGATGACACAAGTGTCAAGTAACCGGGGGGGGGGGGGGGGGTTATTCAATTATCAACTAAAAAAACAAATAATACGAATAAACAAGTATAACAACAAGATTCTTGGGTTGTGATTGAGTTATGGGATAAGGTAAACAACTAGTAATTACAATTAATAGTAAATAGTTGTAAATCAGTGAATAAGATAGACTTCAGTGGGGATAAATTCTCTATCGAGCAGTTTACCTTGAATCAAATTGGTTTCACTCGAACACCAATAAGCAACAAATAACAACAACATTCACTTTAGTCCATTCATTATCTCGGGTTGAATGTGTGGAAAATGATTTAGGATTCACACTCTCGAGCTGAACCCATGACAATCCAATACCCACAAACTATCAAATCAGTAATCTTGGTTTTAAAATCTCTCTCTCAAGCAAGCCAAAAACGCAAAGGTAGAATTGCATTTCCAAATACACCCTTTAGGTAAAGACACAATTACTAAATAAAATCACTTTAACAACATTTACACTATCAATTAAAAATATCGAACAATTATACCAATCCATAATCACATAATCACACCCCAAGAATTGGGGTTTTTGCTTGACATCATAAAAAGATAAAAATCGTTATCGAATTATGTTTCACTCAACTGGGTAAGATTAATAATGTCTTAACAATGGTCTAAGATGAAGAATCTATAATGTCCACTTCCAATTTATCAGAAAATGGACATATCATCAAATCTTCAGATAGTCAGGATCGCTTTCCTTTGGTCATTTTCATCATCGTTTTACTTTTAATTTCAATATCTTCAGGTTTTGTAAATTTGAGCAATAAGGCAATGCATCGCAAAACCATTCGCCGAGACACCGACTGATCCTTTCTATTGCAACATGATTTTCTCCTTCAGGACTAGGCACTCTGGAAATTAGGCGAGACCATAGCCATTTGGAGACTTGCCTAATGGGTTACGCGATCCTCAGGTCTTTCTTTTTTTGTTCTTTTAGCTGCCTTGTTCCTTTTTGTTCAATAGTGTCCATGTTTTGTTCCTAAATTCAAATACCTGAAATTCAAGGATTTATATAAGTTATTAGGACAAAATACGCATTTGAGGACACTAAATCAATTAAAATAAAGCCCTAAATGTGTCCAAATTGTGGACTCATCAATGCCTGATGGTCCATACTGGTTGGCCATAGGTCGTGACTGAGAGGGGCTTTGGTGGGAGCGGGGTTTGAACCACGAGCGTGGCCAGGCCTACGGACCGCGAGTGGATCCTTAGTATTCTGGGGTTGTTCACCAAAGACTACCAGTACGGTCCATGGGTCACTACACGATCTGTGGTGGTGCCCGTCAGTGCCACCTACAACTTTTGAAAATCTATATTTTTGGGGTTCTAGCATATAGGGTGTTATATATATATATATGTGTGTGTATATATATATATATATAAATATATATATACATATATATATAATAATAATAATAATAATAATAATAATAAATTAAGTAAGCAATTATAAAGTGAATGATAAAGTATAAGTTCATATGAATGGTGGATGTAAATTTTCTTATGATTACTACAAAAAGTTAGTCACTCTTAAAATTGCCTTATTTGGAATTACCGTGCTAGAGCTAATGAAATTTCTAGTTTGAATCCTTACTTTCTTAGTTGTGTTAGTGATGTAGGGTAGTCGTTACAGAAACTATTGATCATATTATCCTCTTTGGGAAATGAATGCCTTTATTTGGAATTATTGTGCTAGATATATTTGGGATTATTGTGCTTGATCTATTGGGATTGTTAGGATCATGGATTCAGATTAGGAATACTATAAAAGAATGGTGGGATGCCCAAGGTAATTCTAGGTTGAGAGTAATTTTTCATGATATGCCTAATATCATATTATGGTTCTTATGGGAGAAGAGACACATAATTTTTCATGGAGGCTAATATACTACAAACAAGATGATATGAGAAATTAACGCTACCATATCCAAATTTATTAGGCTAAAGTTTCACACAACTTGTCTTACTATTTGGCCACAAATGGTGATCATGTTTGAAAATTACTCACATGTAGATCTAGAGGTAATCCTTGTCTTAGTACAACTGCATTCTATTTGAGATATCATGAAGGTTATCTTATAGGTGCTAAGGACTAAGGATTTCTGATCTAATAATTTAGTGGTTGAGGTTAGGGATATAAATGGAGGGTTGTAATATTGCCTAGAAAAGTAGTTTACCAATATTATCATTTACTTAGATTTATTGTCTATGGTTAAGATCATTAATGGAGTCCGGAAGATTCTTTTGGGTGTGACTATAGAGGTCAACTCCATTCACAAAAATCAGTAATTATATCATTGTAAGAGTACAACACTCTTAAGGAAGGGATACACTCTTGCTGATATTTTTGCTTACTTGATTTTTAGTTTTGCAGGTAAATATGAATGTATTACAAAACATGAAGTTTCAAGTGAAGGAAGGAGAATAATGATAGTAGATAAAAGCAACACATCAATCTTAATACAATAGCCAAGCAGAATAAACAGAATCAAATATGATTGTACAAGAACAAAAAAATATAAGAAATTAAAATTCTAGGATGCAAAAGAGGGTTTTGGTGATTTTATTAGAGTTTCCTTTTAAGCCTGAAAAAATTTGATCTAGTTGACATACTTACACCTGGTGAGAATATAGAGGTCTTTAAAAGGTACTAAACTAGTGCCTAAATATATCAAATAATTTTCACTGACACTGATATTGATTCAAAGGTTAATCTCTTCTTTAGCTTATAGTTTATGAATTAATAAACAATTGAAATATCTAATCTTTTTTGGTGGTATTAATTCAGTGTGGAATTCAATCCGATGAATATTACGTAATGGAATTGCAAATCACTTCGAGTATGTTAGATAAGTATTCGATTTCAATAAAAGCAGGTGATACAAATACTTAATTTGAACAGTTTGAATGGTTTTTCTTGACTTTGATCATTATTAAATGAGATGTATGAATAAATTATATGGTTTTAAGTATTACTGAAAGGGATATGGACGTTACCTGATTGAATCTAAATTTATCATTTTAGTTACCAATGAACTTTTCCCAATGGTGTCGATCGACTGAGCAGATTGATGGAAGACCTAGAGATACCGGTTTTGAATTAGTTTCAGTCATAGATCTGCTCCTTAAATGGTGGTATCAATCTTCTTAAGAGATTCAATCTATTGAAGGATAGGTTTAAGAATGATACTAATGATTGGAGAGTATACCTCTTTTGTTTGTCTTGAAACAAAGCTCAACCCATACGATTTCTAATCGAAAATAGTTACCTTTACGATGACATTTTTGAGGAAGCTTGAAGATCTTCATATGCCTAAAGATATCATTCACTTTCCAATTGTAGATCTCCCCCCTTTATTTCTACTAGTTTGAACGCACGTGCGTTGCACGTGATAGGTTTATTAAGAATGATACTAATGATTAGAACAATATATCTTTGTTGTTTATCTTGACGTAAAGCTTAATCCATATGATTTCTAATAGAAAATAGTGACTTTTGTGGTGATATTTTTTACAAAACTTGAAATGCTTCAGATTTCTAAAATATTGTTGACTTTTCAATTCTGGACCTTTCCCCTTTTCTTTCTATCAGTTTAAATGCATGTGCGTTGCACGTAAATATCAAATTATGTACTATATTATTTTTTAAAATAATGTGAATGCTATTAAAAAAATTTAAGTAAGCAATTATAAAGTGAATGATAAATTATAAGTTACTATGAATGGTGGATGTAAATTTTCTTATGTTTACCACAAAAAATTAGTCACTCTTAAAATTGCATAGTTAGACATCGTAAATAAACTTCCTCCTGCATGCCCCATAGTGCATTGCTTATTTGTTACTTTATTGTTGGAGTTCACACTTTAGTATAATATAATATACATAATTATTGATATAAAATATATAATATATACTTAATTGGATTTTTTTTGGAGTATTATCAATTTAACATTCATGCTATGGAGTATTCAAATTTCACAGAACTTAAGAAAAGAATAGAAAATATGAAAAAGTCTTAATTTTAAAATGTGAGGAAATTACTCCATTTATAGTTAACAAATAGTAGTATGAACATGTGCATATTGTTTCTTATTATAAAGTTATAACCCTTCAAAAACATCACAACTCATCCGAAAAGTCATAACTTTTTGGAAAGTCATAACCATTTAAAACGAAATGGTGTTTTCTTTTAATATAATATATATACTAAGTTGGGTGTTTTAAGGAGAACAAGAACAATGAAAAATTTTATAAAAAATGTAGTTAAATATTTTGAGGAAATCCTTCTTTTTATAGCCAAAAAGGGTAGTGTATGAAAAAAATGTTTATTGTGCTTTGTCAAAAAAAAAAAAGTTGAGGTCATAGCTAATTGAAAGAATCATAACTCTTTGGAACAGTCATAACTATTTAAAAAATTAGCAATTTTGTAGAAAAGTCACAACCATTCGACAAGATCACAACTCATCGAAAAAAGTTATAAATCTTTGAAAATGTCACGGTCCTTAAATGTAAAAAGGGATTGCTTTTAATATAAAGAATAAATATAGTACAATACAAAATCAAGAAGATATACTAAATATGATGTTTTATATTGGGGGTTTTATAATAAATTAATATTTAAGTAAGTTACTCAATTTTTTAAAGATAGTATAGACTTTTGTCAGTTTGTGTTTGAAAATTACAATTACTGATTCTGATAAAACTTTGCAGAAACACGAAGAATCAAAGTTTACAGAATCAGTATAAGAAATGAACAGAAACTAATTAAGAAAAACTTGAAAGATGTAACGTATCAGAATCTGAAAAAATTTGAACAGAAAAAAAATCAAGTTCACTAAATTCACAGTGTCCCCTTAAGGAAATTATTTCCCTCTAGTATCTGAGGTTTGATTTGGAATATGACCTCCCAGGGTAAAATGATCTCAACCACCAGAGTATAGATACCAAAAAATTTGGTGTCAGCGAACCAGTCAACAGTAGTAAAATACACTAAGTAATTTGTTGTGTAGAAGAAGAAGAAGAGATCAGAAAAATTTGTAAGGAAAATTCTGAGGAGTGAATGATATTTATAGGCAAGAGGAACAGGTTTAGATAGGTTATAATCCTTTCAGAAACCACACAACCATATGAAAGTTTGCAACCTTTGAAATGGTACTGACTGTTCCTGAAAGTTGTAACCTTTTCGAACAGTCATTTAGTGGAAAATTTAAATAAAACGGGAAAGTTTTTAAATTAAACGCTTCACGTTGATTCGAGTCAGGTCAAGTTAGTCAACTAAAATGTTAAAACGTTTCGATTAATCTCAACTAAATAACTAAAAACATTTCTGTTATCAACTAATTAATTGAAAATATTTTGGCCTTTTAATTAATTAAATAAATAAATACATAAATAAATAATTAAAATAAACTTTGTTCAAAAAATAATCTCTCGATCGATCATTTGTCAAAGTCAAAGCCGAATCCTTAGCCGAGATGAGCGAGCGACGACGACGACGGCGGCGAGAGGGGGGTCCCTCTTTCCAACCCTTTTAACAATTAATAGGAGTTTTCGATATTTAAACTCTCCTAATTTTCTTTCCACCACCGACGAGGGATAAATGACTTTTCATTAAAGCATAAGAGAACTTTTCAAGTTTCCAACTCTTCTCAACTTTTCAAGTTCCTCTCTTTCTCTCTATATCCCAACAATTCTTGCTACATATCCAACAATCCCCCACATTGATGGGGAGTGGTTATAACATAGGAATGCATAGACAAGTGTGCACTTTACAGGCAAGGATTAATTACATCTGGATAAGTAGGTTTCCCCTTGGACTTTCCGTAGTGAACATATGTCAGATATACTCGGTCAATCGGTTGATGTTATATTTTTGAATTGTCAAGCTTTGGTGTATACCTAGACAACCATATGTTATACAATTAATCCTTTATTGTTTATGGTTATTACGGTTGTGTTCATTTCAGCCATGAACACTCACATAGGTGATTTCTAACCGTGTCATCTCGTAGATACACTATTTGGTCAAATCTACCAAACTTAGCAAATCATTAAAAACTTTAAGCTTTATTACCTCATTAATAAGACTTAAAGTCTTAACCTTTTTCTTGAACATTGTTTTCATCATGAGAATGGATTGAGTTAATTGACAATATCGAATCGTCAGCCACAACTTTTTTTTATCCTCGAATTTAGCTCCTGCGATCTTCTGTCTGCTAGATAGAGTTACCATCATGTTGAATTGTCCTAAGCCGTAAGCTCTTTCCCTTAGATGATCTTTCAACTGTCTCTCTCACTAAACCTTTCGTTAGTTGATCTGACACATTAGCGCTTGACTTTACATAGTCAATTGTGATAATTTCACTAGAGAGCAGTTGTCTTACGGTGTTATGTCCCCGACGTATATGACGAGACTTCTCATTGTACATAATGTTCTCTTCCCTACCTATAACTGTTTGACTATCACATTGTATGCAAATAGGTCTAACAAGTTTGGGCCAAAATAGAATATCCTCTAAGAAATTCCGGAGCCATTCAGCTTCTTCACCAGCCTTATCTAAAACAATGAATTCAGATTTCATTGTGGAGCGAGCAATAAATGTCTGTTTGAATGAATTCAGATTTCATTGTGGACCAAGCAATACATGTCTGTTTGAACGACTTCCAAGAGATTGCTCCTCCACCAAGTATGAACATATAACCACTTGTGGATTTTACTTCATTTAATTCGGCGATCCAATTTGCATCATTATATCCTTCAATCTCAACAAGATATTTTTTATAATGCAAAGCGTTGTGTTGTGTATATTTCAGATATCTCAACACAGGTTTCATTGTCATCTAGTGAGTTTGATTCGGATTACTAGTGAACCAACTTAGTTTACTAATAACACATGCTATATCTGGTCGCGTGCAATTCATAATATACATCAAACTTCCCAATACTCTGGCATCTTCCAATTGAGAGTCACCTTAACCTTCATTCTTTTGAAATGCACAACTTACATCAATTGGAGTTTTGACAATATTGAAATTCAAGTAATTGACTTATCCAATAATCTTTCAATATAATGAGATTAAGATAATGCTAGTCCCTAAGGAGTTATGATAAATCCTGACCCTAAGATCAAATCAGCAACTCTTAAGTCCTTAATATTGAACTTGTTGGACAACATACTTTTAGTAGCATTTATATCGTCAATGTCTTTACTCATTATTAACATGTCATCAACATACAAACAAACAATGACTTCATGATTCATAAAGTTTTTAATGTAAACACATTTATCACATTCGTTAATCTTAAATTTATTTGCTAACATAGTTTGGTCAAATTAAGCATGCCATTGTTTGGGTGCTTGCTTGAGTCCATAAAGTGACTTCACAAGCCTGCACACTTTCTTTTCTTTACCAGGAACTATAAACCCTTTAGGTTGTTCCATGTAAATTTCTTCCTCCAACTCTCCATTTAAGAAGGTTGTCTTTACATCCATTTAGTGAATTTTAAGATCATGCACCGCTGCTAGTGCTATTAACATCCTAATTTATGTTATTTTTTCCTGGAGAGTATGTGTCAAAGTAGTCCAGACCTTCCTTTTGTTTGTACCCTTTGACTTCCTGGAAGATCAGCCAATTCCCAAGTGTGATCACTTAAAATTAATTCGATCTCACTATTGAATGCTTCTTTCCAATAAGTTGACTCAGACAAAGACATAGCTGCTTTAAATGTTCAAGGTTCATTTTCAAGCAATAGTGCCACAAAATCTGATCTGAAAGAAGCAGGTTTCCATTGGCGAGTACTACACCTAATATCCTCACTAGTTACTGCATTTTTTGCTAATTCTTTTCATGGTCGTTTAGGTCTTTCACTTGTCACCTCACATTCAATTTTATACGGATAAATATTTTCAAAAAGCTCTTCGTTATCTGGCTGAATTAGTGTATTAATATGAATCTCAGAATGATCAGATTTTTGAACCAAAAATCGACAGGCCTTATCATTCACATCATTCCAATAAATACACAGTCTATTGTAACTGGTCCAATTTTAACCCTCTTGTGTAAAGGAACCTCTACCTTGGCTAAACACCCCCACACTTTGAAATATTTCAAGTTGAGTTTCCTTTCTTTCCACAAGTCATATGGAATTGATTGTTTTTTTCAATGGGTTACCCTATTGAGTATCTTATTAGCTATAGGGATGGCTTCCCCCCATAGATTTTGTTGTGAACCAGAATTGATCATCAAGACATTCATCATTTCCTTTAATTTTCTGTTCTTCCGTTCTGCCAAATCATGTAACTGTGATGTATAAGGTGCAGTAGTTTGATGAATAATACCATATTCCAAACATATCTTTGCAAAAGGAGATTCACATTCTCC